CTTTCCATGAAGAATTTCTTCCTAAAAGCAGACTAATGCCATTTCTGGTACTAATAGGTCATCCAATGTGATTTGGTGCTTACAGAAATGAAAGCATTGTAATAGCTATAGACCAGTGGTGCAAAAATCACATCACTCTGGCTTTTACCGCTCATTTGAATAGAGAATGCAAAATTATCTTGTGATAAGTATTGTTTGTATAAGAGATATGGTTGTGTTTTGTTGCAGGAGGCAAATCGTTCCACTGTAGCTGATGGTGGACCTATTTTTACACACAAACTGACAAACTGGACAGAGGTGAGTCAGAATCAGATATTACAAAGCATCTTGGGTTCTTTGCAGGGCATTTTTGGTAAAACACAGCTCCCAGGGTTGGTGTAACCAGACGGGGTAGAAAAAGCAGGAGCAGAAACTGCTTAGGTGGCTTGGAAATGAAAAACCAAACTCTGTAAGAATGCCTCCTATATGGATCAAAGTGCTTTGTACTGCACCATGAACTGAACCTGAGTTACAGCCAAGCTCAGGAGATGAGTTGCAGCATCTTCTTTATCATCCTGTTCTAAGTGGCAGTGAGAAACCGTGTGCTGCGTTTTAGCTTTCTTCCTTTTCCGGCTGATGAGCACTCACCGATCTTTATTTTTCTGACTGTATTTTGCAACAGAGAAATGAAAAAAGGATCATCCTGAGCCAGATTGTTCCCATGTACTTGGAAATACTTAAGAAAGCTGACACATCGAAGGCGCACGTGAGAAACCTAGCTGAGCAGCTGACTACTCTGAGTAGAAGTCTTACTGATGGATCAAACAAGATGCAAGACCTCATGTACCTGTCAAAACTTCAGGTGAGGCTCTTACTCTGCCTCCAAGCCTATATTTTCCAGTTGAAATCTGAGTGTGACTCAAGCCGATAATACTTCAGCAACACATCTGGTAACCCCCGCCTGGCTCAGCTCACACAAACCTCATGTTTCCAGCTGCAGAGGCTGATGAAGGTCTGTGGTGTGGGGTGTTAGTGCGGGGGCCACCCTCCCTGAGTTTTGCCAGAGTCTGACACAGAGGTGCTGGCAGTCCTGCTGCACTGTCTGCTCACTAGAGGTGTTGCTGAGACAGTCATTAGTGGTTCAGAAATTGAGTGTGTGCTCAGCTACGGCATGCCTCCGTGGGTTTTGGAGACACTTGGCTTGTCAAGTGAGTGCCAACAGAATGAACCACCAACCTCCGCAGAGGTGAACAGCCAATGCCCCAGTGGAGTTAGCTGCTTGTCAGTAACTCGTGTAGGTAACTCCTGCAAGGTGCTGCAGCTCGATCAGGGGAATCCCAAGCACAGATACAGGCTGGGTGATGAGTGGATTGAGAGCAGCCTGGCAGAGAAGGTCTTGGGAGTGTTGGTGGATGAAAAACTGAGTATGAGCCAGGAATGTGTGCTCGCAGCCCAGAGAGCCAATTGCATCCTGGGCTGCATCAAAAGGACCATGGCCAGAAGGTCGAGGGAGGTGATTCTGCCCCTCTACTCTGTTCTTATGAGACTCCACCTGGAGTACCACGTCCAGCTCTGGAGTTCTCAGCAGAAGGGCATGAACCTGCAGAAGTGAGAGGAGGGCCACAAAGATGATCAGGGGGTTGGAGCACCTCTCCCATGAGGACAGGCAGAGAGAGTTGGAGTTGTTCAGCCTGGAGAAGAGAAAGGTTTAGAGACACCTTATAGTGGCCTTCCAGTACTTAGGAGGGCCCGCCGGAAAGAAGGGGAAGGATTCTCTATCAGAAAGTGTAGTGATAGGACAAGGAGTAACAGTTTCAGACTAAAAAAGGTTAGATTTTGATTAGATATTAGGAAGAAACTCCTTGAGAGTGGTGAGGCCCTGGAAGAATTTTCCCAGAGGAGTTGTGGCAGTCCCCTCCCTGCAAGTGTTCAAGGCCAGGCTGGATGGGGCTTTGATCAACCTAGTCTAGTGGGAGGTGTCCCTGCTCATGGCAGCGGGGTTGGAACTAGATGATCGTTTGGTTCCCTTCCAACCCAAACTGTTATATGAACTCAGGTATACTCACAATATCTACAGACCATCTGCGTTTCACAGAATATAGATGATCTGCAGCATGTTACAAAGTAGCACAGAAAGTAGAAAATCAAAAATCCGTGACAAAGTGGCTTTTTGCTGTAGGAGTTAGGTAGCAGAGTAATTGGAACCTGCAGATGCCTATCTGGTTTACCCTGGTAGCAATGCAGCCTGTAGGATGTGATCATTAAATAATTATAGCTCTTGGCATGACCATGTTCCATTTATTTCTTACTTATAACAGATTAGTGACTTGAAAATTCAACGCAAAGCTGTGAATGAGATGTACAGTGTCTTTCAAGCACTGCAGGAGAACTCATCTTCCAAAAAGAAAAGAAGCCAGTCTCTGAAGAAATGCAGATGCATTTGACATCATGTGACATTTTGTACTGAGATGTTGCGCAAATTTTGTAATGCTGCACATTTTTAATTTCAATCCTTTTATTGAGTTTTTATAATATTATTTATTAATATTTAAGTATTTTAAATAATTATTTATAAAGAAACACCAATCAAAGTATTTATACCTTCTACTACTGTGTAAAAAATGACTTTGTCTTAAAAATCTGTCTATCTGTTATATGTTTGTTGACCTGAAAATACAGAATGAGGCAATGTTCACCCATTTTCCATATGGAAATCCTGAAATGACATGATACAGTACCCAACTCTCTATCTGGTGCTGTCTTGAGAGAAAGATGTTCTAAGATTAGTCTCATCATTCATCTCTTTGACATGGAGATGTAAGAACCAATATGGAGAAGTTTCTGTACTCAGGAAAACACATTTGCTCACTTCTAAGCATTTCTTAATCCAGATCAAGCAAATAGACATGCTTAAAGTTAAGCAAATGCTGAAGTACTTTTTGGAACTAGGGTACTAATGATTAACTGCTGGTAATTATTGTTATGCACTGAAGCTACCAGCAGGCCAGGCTAATTAGCAGCTTTAGGAAATGTGACTAATTCTATTGCACTGACTTAACTTCAACTCACTGATTTTGAGAAATTCTGTATTTTTTTTTGTACTGAATCATTTAAATGTGTCTGATGTAATTTTATTTATTTGAAGGTAGTAGTACAGAAGTTTTTATCTCAAGGACTATATTTTTGTACCAGGATACTATTTAAAATTTTGGATTTCTCAAAGGAAATTTTTGAAATTTGGATATTAAATAAAAAATACATAAAAAGATAAAGTGTGTTTGCATATTTATTCACCAGAATCTCTGTGGAGAGTAGAATGCTAAGCTTGCTCTACACTGTCCCAAAAGATGTCCCTGCCCACATATATAAAAACATACTTTTATTTCCCTCTGCCTGTCCAAGATTTGGGAAGGGATAATGTTTTTGAAGAAATCTGGGTGAAGTACTTAAATTTCCCAAGCTCTTGAAGTTCTGCTTCTCTCTGGATGACGAAACATCATTTTGCTTATAAGAAGGCATTGATAATTTGAAATTTGTTGTTACTCTGGTTTAAAATAAAAGACACCTTCAAATTTCTCCGCAAGTCAAAGTTAGAGACCCTAGGTCGATGTTTACCCAACTGCTGGGCTCTCTGACAGTGGTACATGTTGGAGGCCTGGGGCTGCTTGGGCTTTGGGTGATCTCAGAGGCTTGGGTTTGGTCTTGAGCTTGAGGAGGGGCAGTGGTAGGGTTTCCAAATCCTCACATCCTCAGGGGGTTACCAAGCAAATTATCTGGGGCAGACTGGTTGCACTTACTGGGAATGAGGAGGATTTTCTCTGGGATTCCTGTCAGCACGGGCCATCCAAATCCCCCTTGAACTTTGGCTGAATCAGCAAATCCCAGAAATACCCCACAGAGCCCAAAGTTTATTTGTAATAAGCCAAATTACTTTGATTGCAATTGTTGCAATCCTTCCTACTCCAGCTGTCTACCCTGGTGTAAGAAGTCCTCATTTTACAGTCAAAACAAAACGACTCAAGAATCCTGGAGGCTTGAACTGATTTTGAAGGAAACAGGTGTTCTTGTTTGTACTCATCACACACATGCACATGAACATGAGATGCAAGTGAAATAACACTGCCGGATTTCTCCCATTCTGGGACTAAGCGTGAGAAGCCTCAGTATCTATTTAACATAGGACTTGTCCCTCTCTCCACATGCTCTTTCACGAGGTCAGCGCAACTTTTTTCCAGCATGCAATATGAGAGAGTTAATAGACATACATGCATGGGAGTGAATATCTACTATCTAACAGTTAAAACTAGAAAGCGGGAAAGTCGAAAGAAAAGATAGCATTGTCTGAGAAAGTTGCTGTGGTTTATGCATCACTTCTGCAGCATGCTGATTCTGTCCTTACTCTCTATTCCTGCATACTATCAGAACTGATTTTAATCTGCCATTTTATTGCCTTGTCGCTTAGTATTTTGAAGTCCTTTAATAGTTCTTTGCAGCTGGACCTCCTCTCTGGTATCCCGAATAACTCAGTACATCAGCAAACTTAATTATTAATATGATAAATTAATATTAATAATTTGGTACATCAGCAAACTTAATTATTTCATAGCTCATCCTGTTTCCCAAAATGGTGAAGGCTATGTTAAATGGCACTAGCACCAGGCAAGCCCTGTCATGACTGAACCCATTTAACTGCAAAAACTATTCACTGATTTCTACCCCTTATTTCTTATCTTTTAACAAGTTAAGAATTATGTGATGGCTTTCTTATAGCTTAACTTCTTTGGTAGCTTTACATTGAGACTCAGCTGAGATTCTTTGCAGATCTAAGGACATGCTGCTAGTTCTCTGTGTATTCATTGGCTCTTCACTAAACTCTAGTAACACTGAAAATTGTGGTCTATCCTGTCACCAATGTCATATTTACTGTTCTCTTGTGCACCATGCTTATCCCTGAGTCCTCTCTGTCTCAGTATTTTATGGCAGGGATGTCAGCTTCACTGGTTTGCAGCTTTCTGTGATTCCCTCAAGGCCTTTTAGAAAACTGATAACCAGTAAGCCCACTTTGTGCATCCCTGGTGTGGGGGCAGACTACTCAAGAGCAGGTTATATGCTCCCCACTCCACAATCCAAAGTTCAGCTGTTTCACCTTTGAGTTCTGCAGAACTCCTGGCTGAAGTCAGCTCAGATCTGTCCTGGTGGTCATCTTCTTCCACTGGTTTAGGGGTGACCATGGGGTTTTTTTTTTTGGTCAGTGGGAAGCAGGAATAATAAAAAAGTCCAAAAAGGTCTGGAGGTGGAGAAAAAACCAAACATGACAGACGAGTGTGGGATTTTCTGCCCAAAATAACTATTCACGCAAAAACTTGCACCTCTCTGCAGTAGTGTGGGGCACAGAGAAGTGATAACAGCAACTTGTGCAATGTCTGGGATGTATGTGGGTTGCTGAAGTAGATGAGGAGTAGGTTAACAGTGTAGCAAACAGCAGCAAACATGACTTTTGTGCTCATTACATAGCAGTTGGTCCTGATGCAAGACAGCAAAATAAGGCCACACGTCTTCCAGCTTCCTCTTTACCCTTTTCTTTTCAGGGTTCCCTCTCACAGTGAGCAAACTTTTCCTGGGAAGCATTAAGGAAGGTTTATGCCAAAAATACAGTAAGCAGGCTGATTCCTTGATCCATGGGAAAAAAAAAAAAGCTGTGGCTGTATGGTGGTCACATCATGCCTGAGGGAAATCAAAATGGAAGAGGCTCAGCTTCCTGTGACACAAAGGGGGTAAGAAGCTCCTGCATCACTCCACGCTCACTGCTACCTCACATGCAAATGTGTTGCTTGCAAGACTTACCCCTAAATCACAGGTCTAAGATGACCTTGACCTTACAAAACAGAAAGCAAGCTGGTCAGGTAAACCTAGTTTCTAAATCAACCCAGGGTGGTGAGTTATTGCCACTCCGACACCTTTTGGCTGCATGTATTCAGTATTTTGCAGGATCTGGTTCTGCACAGAATTGGATCTTGTTTGAAGTCATATGTCTGCTGAGTACACAGAGACACATAGCAAGCACATGTGATTCAATATACATTTTTTGTCAATGATACATACAGAAGTGTATTGTTCAGAGGTGGCTGAGGATTTTTTTGTGTTCATGGCTAGATACACTATTCTTTTCAGTGTGCTGCCTATAAGAGCACAGTTCTGAGGAACTGGCAGTTTTTCTGGAAGATGCTGTTAACAGGAGTAAATGGCACACGAGACTTCTTCACAGACTGATTCTACATTAATAAAAAAGATGCAACAAAATATATCTGTTTGCATAATCATTTCCACAAAAATACATTCTTGAACACTTTTTGTCATCATATACAATGAACCCAAAGGCAATGACACTTTGAGGGAAAGTCATTCCGCAACTCACAATTCTGTGTTATCCTCAGGCTGTTAATGTCACCAGTGACAAGAAAATTCCCCCACACTCACCCTTCTTATAGGCTCCTGAGGTGCAAGCAACAGATGTTGCTCACTAGCATCTCTTTGTCTAGAGCATGCACAACTCTGTCCTCAGCCCACTGTCATGTCACCCTGCACTGTGTCCTTCTCCAGAGATTTCTGGCTGCATCCTCAAAGACTGTAGGTGTCAATGATTTATGTTCTTATAAGAAGAAATTTAGACTGTCCATTTTAGCTTCAACTTTGGAAGCACAACTGAACAGAAACACTATATAAATAATGTTTTGCTATCAATTAGAATTTTATTTTCAGGGATTTATAAAATATTTCCTCCCCACTTGAGCTGTATTTACATTAATACACTATTTCAAGGAACCATGATGCTGCATTAAGTGGTGCAATTAGTATTTAAAATACTTACCTGAACTGAAAAAATCGCTACCAGGATACCAATCCTAAAGAACTCAGTTACTGCAATGACCGCGTGCAGTTCTTTCCTATCTCTTCTGAAAAGCCAGTTAGGTGCTGTTCACTTGACATATATAATTCCTCGCACATCTGCTGCTGCTTGAGGCTTCTATGAGAGGTTGATTGACTTAAAATTTCACAAAAGTCAACTAAAAGATTCCTTTTTATTTAAAATTTAATTTAAACTTAATTTAAAATGTCTACAGTACTTTTCACGTGCTTGTTCTCTTAGTTTGTAGAAAAAGAGAAGTTTAAGAAAAGTGATGTATGAAGAAAAGAATTGTTGAGATTTCTTACCTGAAACAAACAAGCAGTGACAAAAGTCCATGTGTGCTACCCAGCCCGTGAAGTTCATGTTGCCTATCTAGCAACTTTTTTTTTTTTTCCATAGACTGTAAAAGTTATTTGCTTCTTGAACACTGCAAAAAATAGCTTGGTATACTTCTGAGATACTGTTTATCACAAGTGGCTAGTGACATGGATATAAATGGAAAAAATTATTCATTTTAAAACCTTGAACTAGTCTTAG